ACACTTGAGGTGTCATTGTCTCCTATTACCCCGAGATGGGACCGTCTGGTTGCAGAAAATCAAGCTCGGGGCTGTGGTGAGTCATCATTTTCATGCACTTTGAATTTGCGTTGTATCGTATTTTGAAGGCATTAAACTTTACCATAGCGATAAGAGTGTTGCGACCAGATTAGACGCTCCTTGTGTTTATTATTATATTTCGAAAACACCACAGTTTCCATGCAGCTCATATCATATTATTTGTTTGTATTAATCCGCCACACCTTAAATGCCGGTCCCTGAAAATATTGTCTGACTTAAACCGGTCCGTGGGGCAAAAAAGGTTGGGGACCCCTGCTTTAATGAATGTTTTGCCCTACATTTTTTTACATTTTTTTTTTTACTTGAAGCTACTTATGAAGGACGTCAGTGTGTGTATGTGTGCGTGCGTGTTTGGAGAGTGGGGAGTGGTGTGTCTATGCACCGTGGTAAGTATACTCTGGATTCTCCAGCGGTGTTTACGTCTATTAAACTGCTAATGTGTCATTATGGAACTGTATTACTCCAATACGTCCAGTTGTAAAAACACAGATTACATAGTAATCCCCCGAGAACGGGGACCAAGCCCTACTGCAACAAGCGAAAATCTTGACTACGCCACCCCCCGCCCTTTACTGCCTATGGATGTCACAAGAGGATGGTAAAGCACTATCTTTGTCTCAATGAATCTCCTCACCTCGCATCACTTTAACATAGTTCCTTGGTTCTGAATTTTCACCTTTTGCTGATTGTCTCGAACGTATCCCCGGGATGAATGTAGTTTCATTGTAGCATGAAATTGGCTCCAAAAGAAATGCTTTGTTTGTTTTTAGTTCACACTCTGGTGTAGCCACACCTACTATAGTCTTTGTTGATATAATGGATCAACAGCACAAATAGTCTTATGAAAATGTTTTTTTGTCTGATGAAAATGATTCACTGATCTCTTATTTTATTTTATTTTTCAGAATTTGCTCTCTGGTCATCATATAATATTCCTTAGTTGATAAGCTTTGCTTGACTTGAACAGCATCTGTCTTCCATTGCTTCTTGTTTGAGACTCTTGATGTTGTCTTCAGTACAAAAAAACGATCACATGGTCGTCAAGAGCCCTCTTGCGCTGTCTTTTTATGTTATTATGCGCTTGTACCATCCAGCTCCGTCACCCATCAGAATTTGTCTTGCTCCTTCTCTTAGAAGCCATATTATCAATAGACTCAGCTGACCCAGTTCCACCGGTAATAATGCTGCCTCAGCAATGATTGGCAGCTATTGTAGTGCTTTACATCACACTCTTCAATTCGCAGCATTGTGCTACAAGTTCATCTTAATATCATCTGTCCAACAATTCCTTTTCAAGAAGTTTAATCTGTCCTTTGTGCTTTTGAAGTCTCACCAGTGTTGTGAACTCAGCGGTAATGGGCTGAACTTGAAATTGCCCCCCGTTCATGCACTCACATTCACACATTGATGTGACCGTGGCAGTTGGGTTGCCTCCAGGCATACGGTTGTTTGCTCAAGGATACTTTGAAAGTGAAATTCTCGGGGTTGAGTCAGCCATTGTTGGATTGCTACACTGCCACTTTCTTTAACTGTGATGCAGTATGACACTCTCCTCAAAGACTAGATGTTAGTAGTCGCTATTGATTTTTCTCCATCGCATACATTTGTCCGTTTGTGGTCATTTAAAACCTTTGGCTGGTGCTGTGGCGACCAGTGCATACTTTCTTCTTAATAATGTAACAGATTGGAGTTTTGGCAACTCCTACAGCTAATGCCATCTGTCTTGATAGGTCTGTATTTTTTTTTTCCCAAGTCTATTAATATTCCCTTTCACTTGCTTGGGCAATTCTTTTAAGAGATTCTATGAGCAACTACTAAATGTTTTTCAATACTTGGAATCACCTCAATACCTTTTAATATACTATAACGGCGCGGTAAAAGGCCACGCGGGCATTGCCTAGTCACTTGAGGTTTGAACCTTGGTAACTAAATGACTGCCCAATTCACTGAAATAATATGCTTCACTTTGAATTCATTGCGATGGTTCACCGAGGCAAAAGTACTGGTGTTGGCATCGGCGCTTCACTTCCTCTGTTCACATCTACTTTTACCTTCTATCATCAGTAAAGATAAGCAATATGATTCTAAACAATCGAACTTGGGTTTTTCTTCCACGCCCAACTAGGAGCTGTCACAGCACATCTGTATTCCAAAAGCCACATGAGTGTTAGCGGATGAAAGAAAGTGAAAAGTGGGAAGCCTTCTCTCTGAATGTCTAATTGAAGATTTGACAGTCAGTGTGAAGAAGAAACGCCATGGCTGATGTCACTGTTAAGATGCAATGGCTATATTAAATGAGAGAAAACTTTTATAATTAGGTCATTCAAGCTAAAAAAAATTATTGTTCTGATAGTGGAGAAAACCTTCCTGGCAGGTCAGAATGTAATATTCCATATCCATTGTAAGTATTTGCTTTGAAATGGTTCTTCACTCATCATGGACTCGCAGATAAGTAGTTGTGGCTGGTGGACAGACAGCTGTGGTGTCACTGGGGTAGCAAAATTCAGCAAATTATTGAACTGTCTTCCTGCAGCTCCATTGCCTTGCAGCTCCATCCTCTTCAGGACAGTTTGATTGTTTTGTTGTTAGTCATTCTTTGGTGTCTCTACCTCCGTGTTTTGGGTCATCAAAGTACCATAAAATACATTGCGCCAGGTGAAGCAAAGCTGCCTCAAACATAACTAGGCTGCCCGTATGCTTCACCGTAGGTACAGTGTTCTTCTGTATTGTATGCTTCATTTTTGCATCTGTAAACACAGCTGATGTGCCTTGCCAAAAAGGTCCAGCTTTGTCTCATCTGTCCAAAAGGCAATTTATTGTCCAGGGAAACCAAGACAACAAGTACGGTATTATAAAAAATGATGAGGTTTATTTGAGAAAGGGGAAAAAAAAAACATGGAGAGACACCATTCACAGATCTGTCAAGGGAGCTTGCCCTCCCTCCACCCCCCTGCCGTGTCTTGCGCTCTCTTTTATCTCATTTTCTTCTCTTTGGGAGGGGTTACGGTCAGCACAATCGGCATTTTGAGCAGCTACACAGAATGCAGTTTCGTGCATGAGCAGGCAACTTTGCTTCTCTGCAAAAAACTGGTCAGTATTCAATGGTACAAACAGTTACTTACATTTTAGCACTGTCATATGTCAAATTCCCATGACAGCAATCTCCCAGAAGTTCAGTATTTGTCAACATTAGCCCTTTCATGCTGTCCACTGTAGTAATAACCCTGAAAGGGTTAATTTTAGGAAATTCCATTCTTGTCTGGTTCTTGGTATTCAATGACCATTGTTGGGTTTTCTTTAAGGTGACCAACAATTTTATCTGTTTCGGGTCAACAAACAATTCACAATTTTTCCATGTGCATGCATGCACTTAAACTGTATACTATCTTTCCATTCAATCCTCAGTGGGAGCTTAACCTCTCGTGCCCCCCACAGTGTAATAGCCTGGATTGAAGACATGCTGGAGCGAGATGTCAATGACAACAAGAAGATCGGAAACTTTGGCGCCCAGCACATCCTTTCGGGTGTCCCGAGGGAGTCGGTGACCATCCTCACCCACTGCAACACTGGCTCGCTGGCCACGGCTGGATACGGGACTGCACTAGGTAAGACTTGATTGCGGTGGGTGGCTGTGTGGACCGCGTAGCTGTAAGTGTGCCTAAGCCTGAGTCTGGGTGTGTAGGAGTGGTGCGAAGCCTCCACACGCTGGGCCGGCTGAAACGTGTCTACTGCACAGAGACGAGACCGTACAACCAGGGGTCTCGACTCACGGCGTACGAAGCAGTAGCAGAGGGAATCCCCGCTACGCTAATCACAGACAGCATGGCGGCCCTCACCATGAGAGAAATGAACATCACAGGTTTGGGTTTCCCACGTCTTTTCTCCTTATTTCACATCCATCCCATCTTAACCCCGTTTGTCTGTCGGCTTTCTCTCGCAGCTGTGGTGGTAGGAGCGGACAGGGTGGTTGCCAATGGCGACACGGCCAACAAAGTCGGAACGTACCAGCTAGCCATTGCTGCCAAGCATCATGGGATTCCTTTCTATGTGGCCGCTCCCAGCACTTCATGTGACTTAAGCTTGGAAAGTGGCAGGGACATCATAATTGAAGTTCGTCCGCCTGATGAACTCACCAGTATAAATGGAGTCCCCATTGCTGCTTCAGGTATGCGAAAACTGTCTGCGTGCATGTGTTTCCCTCTGTGCATGCTAATGTTAAAGTTTGCGCTGTAGATTTAAGTGGCATACCCAACATACGTACGTCCGAGTAAAGATATGGGAAGAATGTTTTTATGTTGTTGTTGCTGTCAGGTTCTCTTTACACTTGTAAATGTGTCTGACATGGCCCTTATTTATTTGGAATATTTTTTAGTTGGTAATAAATTCGATTTCCATTCGTACAAATTAGGTTTTCAAAGGGTTGGTACATTTCTGGAAAGGTTCCAGTAAATTTTACGGGAATGTAAAGTGTGGAATTTGGGTAATATTTCAAATTGGAAAATTAACTGGGGGTCGTACAGTAATTTATACAAGCAGCATTATATTCAAACATAAATCTTAACATTTTGCTTTGACATAAGCAGACGCCCATGCAAAATACTGTTGATATAGGTTGCTCTCCTTGCCTACCTGCCAGAGCATGACCGCGGTAGCATCTTGCTGCCACAAAAGAAAGAGAAAGTTCAATATCACGTTATAACGTGATAGGTTTCTCATTATGATGTGCTATGTTAAACATTTTGACGTGATAAGTTATCGAGCGAAAGAATTATTAGTTTGACCTCTGCGTTCTGCAAAACAAAATGAAGCAATGCCTTCTGGTTCAGGTCACTGGCGGTGCCCTTTTAGTGTCTTGAGATTTGAAGTTACAAGCTAAATAGCTACGCTTCTCTTCTGTACTGTAAAAAAATAAATAAGATTTGGCCATTTGTTTAAAAAGATTCACGACTTAGATTGAAGACACGCATTGTAACAGTGATCATTTGAAAATGTGAACACTGGTCGATATTTATAGAAATAAGATCTTGCGTGCAGATACTTATCTGTTTCCTAATTAACGTTTTTGTCAAAACGTTTGACAGTCCCCTGTGTTAAAATATATCCCCTTTCAATAATATTCGAGCAAGTCATAATTTTTGTGAATTCTTTTATTCCTCTTTATCTTAAAAAATAACAAAAGAAGTACCGGTAGTTCAAATTAATATACAGCACACGGCATGCTTATTAAGAAATGTCCTTGACGATACAAAGCTGTCTTGAAATGGACATTGATCATTTCTGCATATAGCAAAGCTTGTGCACTCTCCCGAACAACAAGGCTAACCTGGACTCTAGCGCTAACACAACATGACAGGTGTCGCAGCTGCTCTACCAATATTGCAGACCAATTCTGTATGTCAGGGGTGTCAAAGTCAAATGGACGGAGGGCCAGATAAAAAATTTTGCTGCAAGCCGAGGGCCGGACTGATCGAATGTTCATTGAAAATTTTAAAAATGACCACATATAGTTTATTGAACCAAATTTAATTGACTGAAAACCTAACAAATACATTCCAATATGGTCAGATAAATAAAGCAACATTTTCTTGTGGCTATGTCAGTAAACTTTAATTTTCAACAGGCACAAAAAAATTACCTTTGTATAAAAATACCCATAACATGAATGAAAGAAGCCAGTACCATTCAAGGCACTATCAATAGTCCATATTTTCTCTTTTAGCAAAAGTAGGCTAAAATTACTTAAAAGAAAAACAAATAATAGGACAGTAATTTTCGATCATTTACTCGAATACAATATTTTTAAAACATAATTGGATTGAAATACAATAAAGTGCAAAAATGTATAAACCAAAAACAACACTTTCTTCAAGGAGAAGTAACAAGCAGCGAAAGCAAATATACTTTAATTTTTAAACTTGAACTGAGTATAAACTCTTCATATGTGATTGCACAGTATATTATAAGTAATATTCACTTCTTTGAGGCTGAGGCTGATACTCGGTGGTGTCTTATCTTTTCTACAAGTTCATCAATATTTGGGGTCAGGCTGAGCTGAGCAAATATCCTCAAAATTGAATGAGGGTGTTCAGCAGTAAATCGACTTCTGTGTGATGTTTTGTTCAGCTTCATCAAAGAAAATAGTTGTTCACACACGTATGTGCTGCCAAACATCGACAACGTTCGAGCAGCCTGGGTGCGCAGCTGAGCCATTGTGTCTGGGAGGAAACGGGCAAACTGCGCAGCGTTTCGTTTCATGATGTCGTCTCAGATTACACTCTTTCAATAGCGGCACACTTTCTCCGCACAGAAGACAAACAAGTTTTCCAGCTACGTCCATGAACATGTACTTCGATTCCCACCTTGTTTGAAACCCCCGGTTCTCAGTGTCCACCTTCCGTTTTACCATTTTTGATGGGTATCCGAAAGCTAATGTCGCTGTTATGGGAACAACTGCTAGACTAATAAATATTTAAATAAAGCGGGCCGACTGCTTGGCGCGTCACCATTGCATTGTGGGAAATGTAGTATTGGTGCGTGTAAAAGATCTGCGGGCTCTCAGCTTGCTGCGGTCCGCGGGCCGGTTCTAATAATAAATCAATATCATCCCAGGGGCCACTGAAAACGTTCTCGCGGGCCGGATTTGGCCCGCGGGCCGGCACTTTCACATATGTGCTGTATGTGGTCCAGGGTCACCATGGAAACAGCAAAGATGCTCTTCACTTCACAAGATAAGAATTATTGCAAAACTATTTGAGGTCCAATTATTTTAAGGCTGATTAATGTTGTTGCTTTGGTATTCAACATAATTATGGAACACCACACTAATTAATGATAAAGGAGACTATCGGACAGAGTTTAAATGGCACTTGTAGCTCTCTAGCTTGTACACTTGTGAGTTGTGCGTGCGTGCGTGTGTGTGTGTGTGTGTTTAAGTTGATTTTCTGAGAGCTGGGCTGAGCCATTGATCTATAATTGGATTTGTACAGCAGAGAGATGCTCCACAGTAATTAAAGAACAGTCATTTAATGGACAGGAGAATGTGCAATTTTAATTTACACATTGTGTCTCTGCCGTCATTCTATTGTCGGAATGAACAAAACCTCTTTCTCTGTCCAGATGTCAACAGTTAGTTTTGCATGAAGCAAGATGAAACAAATGTGATGCGCTTGCCTGACTCATCATTGAGTACATGAGACCAATGCAAGAGCTGTATCCCAATTCTGCAAAAAAATCGAAATGATCACTGTTGATCACTGTTGATTGACGCTCGCTAGAGGTATTCAGTTTACAAAATCTCTATTGGTCAACAGTCATGAAGGATCGCATTGGAAATGGCTTTTTTGATGCAGTGCAGATCCACACTGCTGTAAATACGACAATAGTAAGCAGTGTTAATTTAATAACCAGCTGACTGTCAATCATAGCAATACAGTATTGGCTTTGTAAATTACATTTTTCATTCAATACCTTTAGAATGTTTTAAAGGTCCATCATGTTGTACTGGTCAGTGTAGTCATCTCTAGCTTTTTGCATCACATCAGCACATTGGTTACAGTTTTTAACTTTTATGAATGTAACATTGATTCTACCATACGTTAACTGTCTACTGCCAGTCCATCATTTAATCTTTAGTGAATTTATGATATGTTGTAACTTTTTGAAGAAAACAAACTTTATGGGCAATTTTACACTCTGCACTTTAACGCATTACAGGAGCAGGAAGCAGTTTGAGGGAGCACTTTTATGGATTGGTCCCTTGCTGAAGGGCACCACAGCTTTGGGTGTCATCCAGAATCGCACAATGGCAGGCGATGGACTTCATCTTGACTGTAATGTTCATGTTAGAGAGTGTTGATGGATTAATTATTCAAAAGATTAAAAATATAACGTATTGAGGATAATAATACAGATTTTACTGTATATGGTCTGCCACTATTCCATCCATTCAATCGCCTTAGATAGTGTATCTTTAATTGCAACCATCATTCCGTCGCAGCTGAGCTGGGTTGACGTTGGGTGAGAGGTTGGGTACACTCTGGACTTGCTGTCAAATTACAGACCTTTTCCAGTGGTGGCAAAGGTGCTTACACTCTGTACTTAAGTAGAAGTGCAGATACTTGTTAAAAAAAAAAAAAAAAAAAAAGACTAGTAAGAGTAGAAGTACTGATTTACTTTAAGTCCTGTACTTACTGTCAAAGTAAAAAAAAAGAATCCCACTCAAATTCCAAGTGCATGTTCTGAAATATGACATATAATTATGATTTATTGTTAGATTATTATGGTTCAGTGGTTAGCGCGTCGACCTCACAGTCGTGGGTTCGGTCCCGGCTCCGGCCTCCCTGTGTGGATTTTGCATGTTCTCCCTGGGCCTGTGTGGGTTTTCTCCGGGTTCCTTCCACATTCCAAAAGCGTGCGTGACAGGCTGATTGAACACTCTAAATTGTCCCGAGGTGTGAGTGTGAGTGTGGGTGGTTGTTTGTCTGTGTGTGCCCTGTGATTGGCTGGCAACCGGTTCAGGGTGTCCTATGCCTACTGCCCAAAGACGGCTGGGATAGGCTTCAGCACCCCCCCGCGACCCTTGTGAGGACAAGCGGATCGGAAAATGGATGGATGGATAGATGGATGGATGTTTGATGATTAGTGATGGGAAAATGAAGGTTGTGGAGGTTGGGGGAGAAAAAAAATAACCGTCCTGTATTGACAAAGGAGCAGCAGTACAGATGCTTTCAAATGCAGAGAGTTAAACTAAAATTCGTCCAAAAAAATTCTCAAGTCCAATAAGCCGAAAAATCTATATAGCACAGCAATAAAGTATTTCTACTTTGTTACTTCCTACCATTGCCTCTTTTCTTCACATAATCTGCTGTCCCTACGTCTGCCATGAATCTGCAGGCATCGAGGTGTGGAACCCGGCGTTTGACGTGACTCCCCACCAGCTCATCACAGGAGGCATCATCACAGAGCTGGGGGTCTTCCTCCCCTCGGAGCTCCAGGCAGCCCTCACTGGCCGCCTCACTGCGCTCTAGACCCCCACCTGCTGGCACTTTGTTGTCACTGCACCTTACTTTCAGACACTGACACTTAATTTCATTGTAACACACGCACGCACGCGCACACACACGCACACACACACACACACACACTGTCACGATGTTATTCAATTTTGGTAAAAAAAATAAACAAAAAAAAGCATAAGTTGAAGAAAAGGTGTTTTACTTTTCCTCTCCCTCTTTGACACACACACACACACACACACACACACACGCACACACGCACACACGCACACGCACACACAGACAGAAACACACTCAGTGCGCAAGCCGAAACACACTGCAGGGAATCAAACAGATATGTGAGCAGTTACCCCCCATTCCTTTCCATATTTTTCCTCCTATTACTCTAATCTCACAGTTGTTATGCTGCTCCTAATTTTTGGCCGTTTTTTTTTTTCTTCACTTTTCAAAAGGCTTCTTTCTGTGAGTGCTGACATGACTCCAATCTTTCAGCTGTGTTTGGTAACATATTTTGAGTCTTACCTAAAGGAAATTTTCAGGGCAACTACAAAAAATAACATTGATGACCAGACTGATTTTCATATTAAAGTTACCGGTAGTATTCCGATCAGCTCTAGTCTCTGAAAGTGCTGCTGTCCACTTGTAAATACATATGTGTCCTTGCTGGTAGCATGTAAATAATGTAGAAATTAAATCCACTGCCACTGCTGATTTAGTAAATTCAAATGACGCACAGTGGCATCAAAATGTTATATTAACATTTCATTTCTGTCTTTGTGTCGATACTTTAGTAGGAGTGTCATTCAAATTTATAGCTGTAATTTGAAATAATCATTTCAATTTTAAAAAAAGGAGTATCTTGATGAGTCCCGAAGACAAAACATCGCTAATTTTATTCCGTACTTACTTATCATACACGCTTACTTCATCTTATCCACTTACAGTATGTATGTAGCCATGCTTCTTTCAGAACCATTCTCACCATGTTCATCGTCTACTGCACTCTTTAGAATAATCTAGAGAAGGGAAAGTGTATCCCAAAACAGCGTTTGCTTTGAATTCGCATATACGAGGCGAGGGATAGACCTCAAAATAAAAGTTTGACATTCAAGTGTGAATTGGTCAGTTTTTTTTTCGTTTAACAATGCTGAGTTATCTTCGTGTTCCTTCTTGCCTGAGCACAAGATGGCTGTGAATTATTTGAGGAAACTGTGCAAATGAAACCGACAGGTTGGTTGATTGACCGAAAACATAACCACATCTACTCTGGAAGGTGTTTTCGGAGCTTGAAACCCACAGACGTGCTGCTCACTGTAACTGAAAACTGGTCTCGTCAAGAAAAGTGAAATATTCGACTCTTTCATCCAATTGATACAAAAACAATCATTGAAATAATTTAGGAGTCAGACAGAAATGTAACATAGGGACCAGTTAACAGGAAGATTGGGACTTCTCACAGAACACTTTTAATGCAAAAAAAAAATTAATAAAATATTAAACTCAGATTTTTTTTAGATTAATGTCATCAAATCTAATTTTTATGAACCTGCCATAAAAACAAAAATTCAGATTGAAATTGCTGAGTGTTCAATTTTTTTTTAAGGAGCGCAGATGGATTTTAAGGTGAAAGAATAATACCACTGTGCTTTTATCTCAGCATTTTTTTGTTTATTATCTGCAGTTTCTCTCAGAGTAATCACAGTGGGCATTTTGCTTGGGTTTGGGAGAGTGGTATGTCTTCATTTGCAGTGAAATAATTGTCAGGTCATGTGATCTGGCAGAATTCTTTCATGTATCCACTCAACTCATTTTAAAACATGACAACACGGCTGTTACATGCCCTTTATTTTACTGGATCAACCATGACTGGTGCTTCAAAATGCTTTTTGAACCCCGTCCCTACCGTATATTGACAATCTACTGGATGAACCATATTGTAAAATTGCACCTCCATCGATGAGAATATTGTGATAAACTTATTTGGTTTCATTAGTTCAATGTAAAAAAAAAAAAAAGACTCGAATTCACTACACTTTTTTATGATCATTGCTTATTAATAAAAATCCAAAGTTGACATAAATTCTATTATTACATGAGAAACAAATCATTTTCATACTTGCCTTGTATAATGTATTTCCACATGTTTATCAAATTCATTTTTAAAATTAGTGAACTTTTCTACAATACCCTGATTTATTGCGACACATCTTTGCAGTAAATGTTTTGTTGTTTAGCATCATTACAGCATAGTAGCCTCTCTGCCCTTCCTCACTCTGGCAAATGTTTTCATCATGCCCATACAGACGATGTACAATAACAGTTGTTCTGGGGTATTCATTTATTTGAATTTGTTAGAAGTGGGGCAGGGGAATGATTGTATTTTGAAGAACTTTATCATTAACCCTTTCATGCACCCTGTAACCTGATAAAATGATAAACTGTCCACTGTAGTAACCACTGTCCCTGAAAAGGTTAATTGTCACATATCAGCCACACAACACTGGGCCTTCCATTATCTGTGTTAAAATGAAGATGGCATGGATGATGCCACAATGTTGATGAGGTGTACACAGGTATTGGATTCAACACATTTCATCCATATTATGTCCTTACCTTAAAACTAAAGTGTTCTGTTGACGCTCAGACACAAAAGCGCAACTTGATTTACAGAGCACTTGAAACAAACAAAACAGTAAACACCCAACATAAGATGTGTAGACATGCGGGACTTTTTCTAATGGGGGTCACATTTAAGAGTCGTGTCTGTGTGTGAGAGTCACAGCGCGTTGCACCTTAAAATAATGACTTTTTGAGCTCAGAGGAGCTATGGAAGAGTGAGAGGTAATTATTGTATACTATTTGTTTTATGAAGTCCCCTATTTTATGTGCTTAAATCAATAATCCTGTTGCTTTGATTGTATTTTTTAAAATTCTGTTTACTCCACAATGATGCTACTTACTGGCAAACACAAGCACCTGTCTACATGGATTTGTGTTGTATTGTGCAGTTCTGACCAAGACATACAGTATATGGCAACGTTATGGTTGTCAAATGTGTAGGATACTATTTATTTTCCTCCGTCCTTGACCATCTATGAGTATGAGCACTCTTAAATGTTTGTTTACACCATAATGATTTCCAGTGCAAAGTTTTTTTTTCATGATATTGTAATTCCAAGTGATGAAAGGCCGATGCTTCTCTTTACTGGAAAGGCCTATTAAACCATGCACACTACCTCACTGCCGACTAACTTTGACAAGCACGGACGCAAGGACTTAAAAAGCACCATCTCACACAGTGGATCAAAAAAAAGAACTGCCGAACATTACCGACAGATGTTGTCTACATCTTTTCAAACGTATGTAGAATTGAAAGTGACACAAATATGTTGTTGTAGCACTCAGTTTTTCATCTAGTTTAGGTTCAGGATGTTATATTGGGTCTCCAGGGATTTGTACAATAAAATTCCATTTATGTTACTAAACAAACTAAGCAAAAAAATGTATTACCGACATGCCCGACTATGTGCCAGACTTTAGCATGATTTTTAGTGTCACCTGCTCCATGGAAAGTACGAGTTTAGTTCAGGGGGTCTCTTTATGGAAGTACTGTAGTATCAGTATGTTGTTATTGATAACCACTTGATCGTTGTTTAATTTAGTGATGTGGAAGTAGTTGACTGTTTTGTTGTTGTTGTTTAATATGTGTATATGGCTCCAATGCAATCAGGTACAGTCTTTTCACATAAGAAAAAAAAAAAATAAACCACGGTGAAATAATTTGTTTTTGTCATTGTCGCACGATGTTAATATCGTAATTGAACCACTAGGTGGCGGTCAAGTAAAAAGTTGACGACGTACGCGATAACAGAAGAAGACCTGTGGTGTATTGTTTTCCGGTTCGCCAAAATGGCACAAGGGTCGCAGAAGTTTAAAACTCAACGCCCTGGAGCAGCGAAAAAGCAACAACAAAACAAACAGAAGGGTCCAAAAAAAGGAGGTGAGAATGTCATACTTTACCAGTTAGCAGCTCACACGAAAAACAAAACGTGAAACAATCAGTGGTTGAATCACCGCATGATGTGATTTGCACGTGCCTCTGTTGACACCGTTCGAGCCATTCTCCCAAACATTACAAAGCTAAGTCATCGTCTTGTTTTATTCACGGTGCCTTTCAAAAGGTATGTATGGGGAATTACTTATAGTAGGTACGTTTGGATCTGTGATTCGGCGGCCTCCATGTAGGTTCCATGCGCCGCATCACGTCATTGACTGAGTGGCTGGGATACTCCTTGCCAAATAGACCTTAAGGAATGCGCAAATTAATTCCTATGACGCCTGATAACGACATAATAGGGAAAAGACCAAGATCAGCCTTCAAGTTGTAGTAACAATCTATCAAGTGGTATTTTATGTACTAAGGTACTTCTATTCAAATGTCACCAAAGCTGGGGCATACTGAACAACTTTTTTTGCGTCCGCCAACACACGGTGAGATTTGGAGTTGTTGTTGTTGTTCCAGGGCTGTACAAAAATGGTGACTGCAGTTCAGGGAAAAATAAATAAGTACATATTTGTTTACTTTTTTCTTAAAGGGAGAATCATTGCGCCCAAGAAGGCACAAGTGATACAACAACAGAAGCTGAAGAAGGTAAGATCTTTGAGCGAAGCAGCTGTCGATCTCTTGTTTATAACTGACCTGCGAGTAATGTACTGTATGAAAGCTATGATGACTTAATCAAAAAAATATATACTAAAATATTCTGCATTTATTTAACTATGATCATCCTTCAATTTTAAATATAATCCTAATTCCAATGAAGTTGAACAATCATAAAAACAGAATACAATAATTTGTTAATTATGTTCAATCTATATTTAATCGAATCCACTACAAAGACAAGATATGTGATGTTCAAACTATAATTTTTAGCAAATAATCATGAGCTTATTATTTTATGGCTTCAGCAAGTTCCAAATAAGATGGGAGAATTTCCCGGAGAAATTACTCAAATGGATTTTTGCTTGATTTCTGCTATATGAACGTTATTTTGCACCTTTTACCTCTCTGATGTCATTTGTAACTCACAATAAAATAAACATTTATGTTGGTCTAAAGATGCATTTTCACAGCCAGAGGGCAGCCACGGCTTTGCCATGGTGAGAGGCACCTGTGACTCCTCCTTCTGATATGCAGTATTATTTAAGAATGTCCATAGCGCTGTATAAGCCTAGTATTTCTAATGTATTTTTTTTCAATGTGTGGGATAGTTATTTGTTTAATTGTGGAGGGGACTCAACCATCAGAGTCCCACCAACTTGGGTTCAAAGACACGCCGTCACTGGCTCAGTAGCACTGGTCGCAACATTGCTGCTCAATGCACGTTGTGATAAATGCAATCAGTTGTTAAAATGTCAGGGAGAAACACAAGCAAGCTCAGTAAGCATATAGCAAATGTGCATCTCACCTCACAGAAGTTCTTTTTGCAGCCCAACAGACTGTTCCACCCTTGTAGCTCTACACACGTTTTCTTTGACATTGCTGTCTCCAAAAGGAGACTCCAAATAGTATGGGTCGCTTTTTGGCGGTACAAATACAGTCAAACCTCGGTTTTCGTCCATAATCCGTTCCAGAAGGCTGTTCGAAAACCGAATTGTTCGAAAACCGAAACCACGCTCTTTTTAAAATAAAAATGTTTTTTGAACACGTCTGCTCACAGTGGAAAGCAACACGAGGAAGCGTCACTTCCTCGTCTGCCCGAGGAAGCGTCACTTCCTCGTGTAAGGAAGGCGAGAGGAGTCAAATGGTGCATTCAAGTGCGCTCAGTTTGTTCGAGAACCGAAATTTGCTCGTCATCTGAGGCATAAAAAAAAATCGAAATTTTTGGTCGAAAACCGAATTGGTCGAGAACCGAGACGTTCGAAAACCGAGGTTTGACTGTATTCTGCTTGACACCAGCGATTTACCCACACGCAGTCGGAGCAGCATGGCTCAAGTGCAAGTGTGGCCGTCTCCCAACCTGAAGGTTGTTGGTTCGCTCCCCCATCCTTGAATGACTTTTGTTAAATAAACTAATCCGATGCAAGCAAACTTTACGTGAACAATAATTGAAAAATTTACATTGAATTTTTGAGTGAAAAAATGTTTTTTCCCCAGAGTAAATATCGCTCCGTTTTTTTTCTGTGAAAAATATTGAAAATATTTTACTCTCAAATGTTACTATTTTGGGGGGGAAATGTATTTGACTACATTTACTGTGTAGTCTGAAGCTTATCAGCCATTTGCTGTCTTTCCAAAAGGGTCTGGAAATTGCCATCAGGAACAAGATTGAACATGATGTGACCAGCAAGGCAAGCTCATCCCTACACAAGCCCCTCAGCGTAGTCAAAGGCGCTGAGGGCAAAGGCAACCCAGGAGCCCCTCGACCGGGAAACAGCTCCAAATAGGATGTGATACAATGGACATAGACAATCAATATGACTCGACATGAAGAAAAAAAAAATCTTGAAAGGTTAAAGTTCAAGGTGTTGAATCTTTCCAGTGACCACTGGTGTGTTTTTGTTGCTCTTGCTTCAGTTTCCTGTTCTCTTCAACTATGAAAACATTTAAAAATTGAGATTGTGTCATGGGAAAAGACTTGACTTCAAGCTGCACATGTGGAAAATGCATCTTCATATTTTGAAAAAATGATGTATTTTTTAATCTTAGCAATGATTATATGACAAGCATATCCAAAATGTCATAAAGAGAATTCCCATATTCTTACAGGCAAGTAAAATCTTGCCAATTAAAATAATCTGTCTTTTCCAGTCATTGGTTTCCAATAATCATTTTACATCTCCAAATAAACACAAAATCACTGTGCATCGCTAGCTATTGAAGTACAACATTCACTGGCTCAAATAATATGCTTTCATAAGCGTATTTGGTTACCCATGCATCCATTTTTTGCAGTGGCTTCTTTCGTGCGCTGAAGTTTTTACCACCTGACTTAAGCCAGGGGCCTTTTCATTTATTTCATGAAGGCTGAAGAACGGTCAAATTCAATGATGATTTTCCTTTCGCTTGTTGAACAAACCCAACTGGACTATAATACACTCCAGTAATAAATGTATACTTTAGAGTACAAGTACTGTAAAATCATATTACTGCATGGTTTTCAGAATCAGTCATGCGGGTTTTATTGCTACCTGGTGGTGAACATGAGTCACAGCATGGTTATCACTGCACTGCATTTTGTATGCACAGTATCGTATATTGCAGGGGTGACAAATGCATTTTAGTAGTGGGCAACATTGTAGTGTCCATTTCCCTTGGAGGGCCATTATGACTGTGAAAACATATAATGAAGTCAACAATAATGGTTCATTCAACGATTGTTTACATTCGTGTAATGAATGGAATGGTAACAAGAAAATGCTTACAATATCTCGCTTATTTATTACATATGAGCAGTTGACATTTTGGTACCTAATTTAGCAATTATCGTAGAAGTTGACATGTTTGATTTGCTTTCGCGGGCCACCTAAAATTATGTGGTGGACCAGACCTGGACCCCGGGCCTTGAGTTTGACACCTGTGGTATATTGTATATGAAAGAAGTTGTATGATTTTCGAGCGATGTTCTGTCAACAATCATCATGGAAAATGATGGCCCAATGGAGCAAGTGGTAGGTATTAGCTTGTCCTTTAACATTTTACAGGGGGAAACAACACATGTGGGTCACTCCTGTAGTGGTTTAATTTCTTGATACTCTGTCTTCTGTTTCACCAGACCAGGGTGTAGTCAGCCTTTTAGCCAAAGTGGGCTGGGATAGGCTGCAGCTACCCTGAACGGGATATGTGGAAAAGAAAATGGATGGATGGACACACAAGTGCACTTACTGCAGATGAAAGTCTCCAGCGGGGGCCACATTACACTCCACTTCCATGGGCCTTGCTGCAAGGGGTTGAGGGTCATGCAGAATACAGGATTTAGAAAAACCCAAAACAGGGATATTGAAAACAATTTTTTTGTGTTGATAGGCAAAGATATTGTCGACTCTACTATGAGGGTTGTCACACCAAAATCTGGGCCTCCATACGTGTTTGTTGATGGATTGTGGAGGTTGCTGCTGTCATATAGTTACCCATTTGAAAACTAGTGAATTATTCTGTGTAGAGGAGTGTTCGCTTATCAGCAGTGACCCCCCGAATCAAACCCAGGATCTCTGTACTGTGAGGCAGATGGGCTAACCAGTTGACCACATACCACTCACTGTTTTAATATAGTGATATATTTAGTAATTAATCAAGCGTTCGGGTCAGCAACAAGTGAATTTTTGTTTTCGAAGATGTCATACCTATAAATTACAACACATGGTAAAATCCATATTTCACAAGCTTTTATAAGTCATATATATATATATATATATATATATATATATATATATCTGACAAACCTGATAAGCTACAAAAACAAAACCTTTTTTTAGATTGACGTCAAACATGCCTCGGGACATCTCTGATTAACATTTCCTGTTGACGAGTGTAATTTGCCAGCACATTGTATTAACATTGAAACTCATTTTCGCTCTAGTTTGCATTAGACACAGGATGCACTCGCGTGGCTTGAGAGTACCAACCCCATCCCCCACGGCCCCAAAATAATACACAATGCACGCTCAGGGCCAGTGCAATTAATCCCTTCTCACCACTGAAGTTAAAATGGATGTTTATGAGTAACAAGTATGCCTTCAAAATCAGCAGAGAGTTCATGTATTTTCTTTATTGCTTCCATGCATGAACCAATAAAGTTTCAAGCATCTTCCTTCTGCATTAGAGCGGACTGGGACACAAATCTCCTCTTACCAGGATGACAAATCTTTGTGGACTCAGTTGTACTGTTAAAAAAAATACACTGGATGTAGCTCTCAGACAAGCAGAAAAATGTGCGGCAAAGTGACACTATTCTGTGTGTTTAGTGGGGTTGGCAAAACACTGTACTGTACATTATAAGCATAAAAAGGTAACAATATATTGCTTCTCGGGATGTTAATTGAAGCTCTGATTGAACCTCACAATGGCGTTTATAATAACAGCCACTATGAAACATGCACCAAACAACAGTTCGGTACGATCCTGAATAGAATAATTAGAAACGGAAGCACAAATTATTCTGTATGTGTACCTTGAGCATTTCTTAAGAGTTGCGTTTTGAGAAGTATAAATGGTAAACCTCTCTGTGAGCCATCACGTTACTGTGATGGAGGAATTGTGTGTGTCCCAATGATCGTAGGAGCTAAGTTGTCTGCAGGGCTTTATGCCCCTGGCAACCAGATTCTACGTGACGGTCCAGACAAAGCATGGCTCTTATGAGAAATAACACAAATGGACTTAGATTTTCTTTGCTCAGACGCTGATCACTGGGGATGCCCTCTGGACCCAGGCCTGGAGGCGGGCCTTGTTGTCAAGAACGGCCGGGCCTGCACCCATGGGGCCTGGCCAGGATCAGCCCAAAGTAGCAACGTGGGTCCCCCTTCCCATGGGCTCAGCACTATTGGGAGAGGTGAAAGGGGTTGGGTGGTTTGTAAGCTGGGCAGCGGCCAAAGACTCCTTCCAAGAGTGCTTGAGGATGTGGCAGACAATGCTGGGAAAGAAATCACTTGGAAAGGGAACACTTACGGGTAGTTTGAATTTGAAATATGTCTTTTTTTTTTTTTTTTTTTTTACTCCAGTCCTGGAATTCTACTGGTACACCCGGTACAATACAGTTAAATATTTGTGTGCCACAATTTTCTTCCGATTTGGAATTCAGCTCATTGCTAACTAGAGACATTAGGCCCATATAACAATCATTTTCTGGGACCGTTGTTGTAGGTTATATGTGACAATGTAATGCGGTGACTACATATGAACCCACGGTTTTTATCATCGCAGCCGCTCTTGTAAGAGAAACCATAATTAACTGGCCTGTGACACGGGAGTTTGACACCCCTGATTTGTAGGGAGTTTGTGTGTTGAATATATTAATAAATGATGCATGATTTTTAATATCATTCTTTTTTTTTAGTTGAAGTGCCCCACTAGTTGACATTTCTCCGCTGTAAATGTACGAGAAAGGCGAGCACAAACTGAACATTCACTCAAAGTTATGACGCGAGTAATAAACAAAGCAGCCCCCCTCCCCCTCCCTACCCCACTTCCACACCACGGAGGCACGCGCGCACGCACTTACTTTCCCCCTTCCTCAGGGCTCTAGCCCGGTGATCTTCGTGGACCTCACAGTTGAGCGGTCTCAAGTGGGGAGGTGCGCGCACGCCCTCAGAAGACGCATCTCAAATACACAGCAATTAGACTACTTGGCGATTTATCCGAGGAGAAAAAAATCTAAACTCAAGGCGAGCACTGACATTTTCCTCCGAAGGTAAGACGAACTAACGAAAGTAGTAGTGACCTTTCTTTCGCTAAATTTGCTGTCAAATAGAAGAAATGACAGAACTCAAGTTTTCGTGCCTGTGATTGCCGCAAACAACCCGAGCAGTCGAAATGTCACCAGAGCGACAGTTGTACGAATAAGAATGTATTTTTTTCCCTTTTTTTCTTTTCCTTTTTATATTTTAACAAAGTGTTTCTTTTTACCTTAAGTTTGATCAAGGATGAGGATGAGAATCAACGCTGTTCTACTGCTATGTACACTCTGTTTTACAAGTAAGATGCTTTCCCTTCTGGATTTAGAGAATATATTTGTTTGTTCTTTGTCTTGCTGTTCGTGGTGCTCACACGCACGACTGCATGCACTGCGCATCAATGTGATTGTGTTAAAACTCCGGTCCTCGAGAGCCCTATCCAGCCTGTTTTAAATGTCCCCTTCCTCCATCGCACCTGATTCAAACGATCAGGATCTTTATCGGGCTTCTGCAAAGTTTGCTGACCAGCTGATGATTTGAATCAGGTGTGTTGGAGGAGGATGAAATCTAAAACAGGCTGGGAAGGGGCTCTCGAGGACCGGATTTTGGCACCCTTAATTGCTTTAATCCAGGAGGGATCGACTGCCCCTTCTTATTTCCTCTTCTCTGGGTTATTTTCTGGCTAGATGTTTGGAGCTGGCAAAGAAACAATTGTGTCAATGAATCACTTATCCAGTATAAATGTCCCCCATTGTGTATTACATAATATAGGCACTATATTACAAAGAGATCACTTTACTTCCACAACTATATCGAATGAGAGCAATACAAGAACTAAATAAAGGATAGCAAGGCTCAATTTTGCTATAATAATAATAATAACAATAATAATAATAATAAACAATAACAAACGTGTATGTTTATTATTGCGGTTGTGATTTGAAATAGTATACAACATCATGCTGAGAAATATTGACTGATGAATCGCCAGAGTATTTGTCGGTTTCCTTCTTCAGCAATATTAGCATCAACCACGATTAGAAATAACGCCCAGCACTGCGATATTGTCTATGCTGAGGAAGAGTTTTAGACTGCAGAATTTATAATAAATCTCATTGGAGGTTGGCGGTACGAAATAGTCCAGCGAGTGTATACATAAATGGCTGTGCGGTATTTCCTCAATTTCCTCCGCAGCCAACTGCATTGACCTGGTTGTATGTGGTGTCCATTAACTTAAAATATCTCTACCTAGAGGCAGATGGTCGCTCTTAATAATTTACCGATGGCTCTTTTAACCTATAATCAAGGAAGCAGAAATCCGATTTGAAGAAAGGACGACCAACTTGCTTTATTTTCCAGAGACGTCTCATTTTTTTTTTTTTACATAAATAACTTATTGTGGTTGAAACCACACAAGTTGACATC